ATTAAACGGTTTTAAGTACCTAACGGAAAAAATTTTCGGAAAACGTTTAAGTTTTTACCTAAGTAAAACGACTTAAACCCAAAACGTATTTACCTAGTTACTAAAGTTAGAAAAACAGACTAAACACAAGGTTTTACATTGATACCGTTAGTATACGTATCTTGCAACTTTCTCCCCTCGGTTTACCAGCAAAAGCTTAAGGTTGGTCGGTAAAAGCGTTAGTCATCTACCCACTACTGTACGTCGTACGGCGTCGTTCTACCATCGTGTTAAGAATGTTGAACTTTTCGTCTTCACTTACCTACATTTTCATGTTGAGTCACAACAAAAAAAACGTCAAACGGGAATGCATATATAACTTTAATATTCAACATTGCTACGTTTATATATTTAAGTTATTTACACTGACCATGTAAAGATCTCCTAATGTTCATTGAAGTTTATCAATTATAACAGGTTAGTTATCAAGTATTACCAATTAACTTTTTATATAAAATTTAAGTACCTTAATAACGTCGGCTTGGTCCCAAATGCTCAAGATGCCTTTACGAGCAGCATCTGCGGATGGCCATAAGGGCAACCTTAGATTTGGGTCATAAGAGAGAATGCAGCCTGCTTTTTTGGCAATCTCCATGGCTGCAAGATGAGCTGACCTACACGGTTCCGCAATCAAAGAGATTGACCCATAGTGAAAGATTCTTGCCTGCAAATAAGGGAATTTACACTTATTAAGAGAAAAAAACATTTGTGATCAGTTTTTTTAGCAAAATAAAAACATGTTTATTTACCTTTTGAATGAGATCTTTGTCCAGCTCTGCCTCTGTAAGAAGCATATCAGCACTTGGATTGCGGAAAAACATGAATTCTCTCTCGCCATCTGCTCTCAATGTGACAAATGCTAATGCTGTCCTTGCATGAGTATCAAAACGCATGCCAGAATTGTCGACATGGTTCTGTTTTAATATATCAGATAACATATAACCAAATTCATCTGCACCCACCTGCAACAGAGATGAAATGCATAGGAAAATTAAATACAAGTTCAAATGTATCAAATAAAAATTTTGTTTAAGTGATAGAACCAGAAGACAAAATAACCCCATATGTAGGCATAACAAAAATGTAACTTGACTGAATTCATATCAAGCAGATTGTAGAGTATCAGCCAGAAATGATTGATCACATAAGTTAGCAATGAGTTTAACTTTACAGTGTAATTTTTTTATGATATCACGTCAATAAGATAATTAATGTAGCGATATATTGGTAACTTAGAAAATACGTATCAGATAATTCTAGGTATATATTGGTCGTTATCGACCCTGTATTTTGTTATGATCTTTTTAACCAAAAACAAAACTTAGATAATACGACGATTACCTGTTACAACATGTAAAAATATATTGAAAGTGTAAAAATTCTTTAGGTGAGTATAATAGTACCTTGCCAATAAAGGCGGAAGAACCTCCTAATCTTGCTATACCAACTGCAACATTAGCTGGAGCTCCACCAGGAGCTTTCTTAAAACCAGGCGCTTCTGCAAGTGAAACTCCAGATACAGTAGGAACGAAGTCAATCAACAACTCCCCGAAACAAACAACCAGGTGATTGTTTTCCTGGTCCTTTTTCTTCATGGATAGAGATGTTGGTGAACCTACAATTTTGGGAGATGTTACAATGTTAAAAATACCCACAATATTCACTAACAAGATATATGCATTTGATGCGAATATGAGTATGTGAGGATCTTAATAGAGGCGAATCTAGGGCAAACTCCATATGTTGAACTTAACATATATGTTGCTTTCAGCTCGAGTTATATACACATATGAAAAAAAAGCATTTGAAATGTATACATATAATAAGATTACATTCATTTTGAATCCGGTGACTCTAATCGCTTATGAGAGAATATATATTATTGATTCACGAAATAATCATGTCGTTATTTCGTTATTTATATCACCCTCTTTATTTATTTATTTGGGGGGGGGGGGGTGTTTGTGTTGATAGATCAAAATTCCGTGGCGAGCCTGTTGAATAATTTTTATGGATTCTGTCATTTCATCGATTCGTACTAAATAATTAACGAGCTAATGAATCCCACCCTCGCTTTACGGTTTGCTTAAGCATGGAAAATTTAAGAACACAACACATGAATGAGTATATTGATGTCAAGCACTGGCCAATCTAACAATGGGTTTGCAGATTCGGTAAAACCTAGTGTTTTGTGGTAGAATTAGTTCTATTATATATATATATATGTGTGTGTGATAAAACAAAGATAGATAAAATTAGATATACATTTAATAAATCATTCTTTCTACTGAGAACCCAAAACATCTATATATGTTATGAATATAAAAATGAAGATGAAATTTCAAAGGAATAGGAAAGAAGCTTACAGATAGAGCTCTTGCTTTTATTGAGCTTATCAGAAGAACTCTTAGATAGCTTGAAGCTGCTTTTCATGGATCGGTCAAGGATAACAGGGAAACAACAGGCGAATTTGGACCCCTTTTTACTTGACCGATCCATTTTATTTACATGTAAGGTAGGCTAGGCAGCTATGAAATTTAACTTTAAGGAAACTTCATTATATATAGACAGAAAAATGAACCCTACTACGTAGGAAATCTGGTGGTTTTCATAATTCTCATGCTACACCACAAAACTTTCTAATCTCATATGTTTTTTTCTTCTTTACGTGACCAATTACACAAGAAAATGACCGCTTCTTTTGGGTGGATTTTCTTAGGCGAACACTTGCCATTTCTGTCCTAGTTTTTCTACCTCATCAACATAAACTTTGATTGTTTTACCCGCTATAACGACGATTATTTCTATTAATGCCTCATCTTTTATGATGTAAAAGTACAAAGTGTCAATTTGGCTTGGCCAGAGATGTTTGCGTATTAATTATAAACGACAAAAGGGAAAAGGAGACATTGTTCTTTAATAGAACAGGTGAATAATCAGGGGCGGACCTACGCTTGGGGGTGGGGGCACGGGCACCCGTTGGCCTCGGTAAAAATATTGTATATATATTCTATATATATAAGTTAATACGGGAAGGACCCCTATAAATATATTATGCGGCACCCTCAGTCACAAAGACTAGATAAAAGAGTTGGTTTGTGGGCGTAGTTGGCTTCTTCAAGACTCAAGTTTGAATCTTAGGTCCAACAATCAAAATAATTTTTTTGATTGGGTCTCATTTGGTCAGGCCTTTAATTTAACGCATACTAGTACCCTTTTTGCACACGCCTACTAGTACCCTTTTCTCTCTCTTTGACATAAGGTTCTTCTAAACCCAAAACAAATCTTTGACATCAGTTTTTTCTTCTAAACCCCATTCCCAAACCAAAACAAATTTCATCCTTCACCTGTTCACCATCGCGGCATCACACGTTTCTTTCTTCAGGGATTAAGGCATGAAGCAGCTGCCGAATCTTTTTCTGGGTAAGATTTTAAAAATTATACTTGGAATTCTCCATCTTGTTTTCACTTTTCTAATGGTAAATTCAGTTTCTAAGTTAGGGTTTAAAAAAATCCCTTTTAAAATACGATTGAGAAGGGGCTTAACTAGAAGGTTTTGCTTGCCTCTTATTTGTGTCTTGTTCTCACTTTTGGCTATTCTATTTTGATTGAATCTCTGAATTTTCTGTAACTTTTCTCGATTTTATTGAGGCTAGTAAAGCCTTTGATTTAGGCCCCAAAAATTTTAAGGCCCCAAAAGGTGTACTTCTTTTAGTTTTTGAATTTATTGTTTGTTCGACTCTCAAAAAATTAGAAACGGTGAGCTCTTTGATATAACTGCTTGAAATGCTATCTCTTTCAAAGTTGACATAGATTTTTGTAATCTTATACTACTTCACTTGTTAAATGTTAAGTTATTCGATTGAACTCATTAACCTTTGTCACTGAGCACTGGACACTTTTTGAGTTGCTGATTAATAGTTAACAAAACCCCTTTATTGGTACAAACGGAACCAATGTTCACTTATTAGTTTGCTGTTTCTTTTTACTCCTCAGAAAGTTTGATTGATTAATCATATTAAAAATATTATTTTGCTTGGCATTGTTGCTTTGTAGGAAGTTCTCTTGATGTGAATTGAGATGGACAAATTTTTGACGAGGTTTAATTCTCCTCAACCAAGTTCTAGTTTTAGAGACAATTCCTCCCATCTTGTCGAAGAGTTTGATGTGAAATCACTTAATACCGACCCCGGAGAGAGAATACCCATTGATAGATATAGCCCTAGAATACGGGATGAAGTGAGAAGACACTACATCCAAAGAGGGCCCTGCCAAGCATTATCCCGATGAGTTTGGTGAATTGAAGCTTCGAGATCTTAGTCGCCAACTTGATACTTTCATATGGCATATGCAACATGGTGACCCTAGGTTCTCTGATTTGAAAGGAATTGGTGATTTGGCGAAAGCATTGGTTGAAACAAATCTTGTGGAGACTTATTCACTTGTTTATTTGCTTGTGAAGTTGACTTTAATTTTACCCGTCGCAACTGCAACGGTGGAAAGAGCATTCTCATCTATGAAGTACATCAAAAATGAATTGCGTAGTAGTATTGGTTATGCATTTCTAAATGATTGTTTAGTTTGTTACTTTGAGAAGGAAATGTTTGTAAAATATGAAAACGCGTCGAGTTCAACTATGAGTGGACAATATACTTTTGTTATATTAGTATCAAGTTAATGGTATTTGATAATATTGTTGTTTTTATTTTGATGATAAATCATCATAGTCATTTCAAAGAGTTACACCCGAACTTTATTGTTGGTGATTGGCATACTAAAAATAATGGTGCCCCCGTAACGCTTAAATCCTGGGTCCGCCTCTGTGAATAATAACATAAGAAAATTAACGGCCAACTCTATTCTTTAACCCATGAAGAAATGATCAAGAGATTATTTTGATCTAACATTGATATATATCTACATAGAGTTTAAACTATATATACTATAGTATAAAGGACTTTAGCACTATTAATATATAATCACTTCTACTAGGTTATTTAGAGACGGTAAATTGCAGAAAATTATGAATATAAGATATCATAATTTGTTACCTATTTCATGTTTTGATAAATTTTTCCCCTTAACCAAAAAGTCTTGATAAATTTTAGACACGAAATCAATTTTCACGAGCTTCATCGCTAGTCCGCTACATTTGGTCATGTACTAAAAATGACTTTGTTCTTTCGGGAACAGGGAGATACTTGTAAAATACTCTTCAGAAAAATGGGAAAAAACTGATCGTCGTTGCCGGGTTCAAACCCGGGTCACCCGCGTGACAGGCGGGAATACTCACCACCATACTACAACGACTTGGTTGATGCTGAGCCTAGACATATAATTATTCAATGGCATATCACTATACAATGCAAATACCACTATGGGACTCCTGTAGAATAAGAAAGTAACGTTAAATGGGTGATAATGGATGATTTGTAGCTACCCAGATCTTTAGGTTCAAATTATTTTTATTGTAACCTTTCACTAATTTCATCTGATAGTACTATGTTTGGGAAGGGTAAAAGATTACACGCATAAGGTGTTTGTTTATATAGCAATTCACTGAACTTTCAGCTTAAGTGTATGCACTTTCTAGAGTTATGTTCCACATTTACCCGAAAGATCATTTGTTTTTTGTTGCATACTTTGAGACATAAGTGGATGATTGTTATACAGTTTACGTTTATGATTAAGATTTAAATAGTTAAATAATGGTTGATGTTATTTCAAAGAAGATTAAGGGTGTGTTTGGTATGAAGGAAAATATTTTCCGAATATTTTCCGGAAAATATTTTCCAATTTTCCCATGTTTGGTTGCCTTAAATGTTTTTGGAAAACATTTTCCTTATCAATTCATTTTCCTCCAATTGGAGGAAAATGTTTTCCTTATCAAGAGAAGGGAAAACATTTTCCAAATCTCCTTCTCAACCTTCCCCACCCTCCCCAACCCACCCTAACCCTACACCCCTCACCCCGCCCCCCCACCCCACCCCCTAAAAAAAATTCTTTTTTTGCTATTTCATTCTATTTTTTCATTTTTCTGCACCATCCAACCCACCCCCCTCCCCCCTACCCTCCCCCCGCACAACCAAAAAATAATTTAAATATATTTTTAGTTTTAATTTTATTATTTATCGGTTTAAAGGCTCAAAATTTTACAAGTTCCAAAATTATGAGTTCGGAGGTTTATGTGTTTGGAAGTTTACGGGTTTAGAAATTATAAAGTTTATGGGTTCGAAATTCCGCGGTTTTGAAAGTTTAGCGGTTCGAAAGTTTATGAAATTTGTGGGCCCGAAAGGTTGTTAGTTTGAAAGTTTATGGCTTCATGTTTATTATATTTAAATTATTTATGAATACTCTTGAGAAGTCATTTTCCTTAATTTGCGTACCAAACATGAAAAATGAATAAGATTACTACTTGTTTTCCAAGAAAACATTTTCCGTTATACCAAACACACCCTAAGTTCAACAAGTTCGACTAGTGGGGTGAATTCACTGGGCAATCAAGACCACAGGTTAATTAAATCGTAGCAGAGTGTAATTAAGCTCTTACAGGGTTTTCCCAATGATAGACTATCGGACACGTTATGCTGCTAAAACAGGTTCTAGTTAATTCGAAAAGATGAAACGTAAATTTTGTTCTCTTTTCTCATTTCCACAAGAACTGAATGAAATAGCATGAGATAAATATGAATTAATGTCGCACTCCATTAGGGTAGTAAAATGGTTAAAAGAAAACAGTTAACCACCCATATTATCCACTAAAAAATAGTTGGATGATAAATTTTTAAAAACGGGTCAAATATGGGTAAGAACCATATTATCCATTTAGAAAATTGATAACCAATGGGTAACCAATGGATAGCCAATGAGTCTAACTTTTACATTCGTAATGCCTCAAATTGGGGGTTCCTCAAGTTTGGGAGACTAAGAATTCTCCCAAAAGTGATCATATGCAAGAAGTCATGGATAATATGGTTACCCATATTATCCGCCAGTTAACCCGTTTTTATCTGTATTAAATATGGGTCGGGCCGGATAATTTATCCATTTTTTTATTATCAGTTTTTTACCCGAACCACATCCGACCCGACACACCCGTTTGTCACTCCTACACTCCATGTGTTTGCTTTGAATATCTCAAACATCATAATCAAATTGAGAACCAAGAGCATAAAGATAAAACGGTAACGTCATTGCATATATGCAGATTCAACAGAGATTATTAACACGTTTACAACTAGTCCTCACAATATGCATCTATCTTACATGATTGTAGGATACTAAGGCAGCAACTAGGAGATCCAGAATTAAAATAATATTTTCGGGAGCAGAATAAAGTGGCTGACTTGTTAGCTAAGGAGGGACGGAAAATTGGAAAAACTGAAGCTCTTACAATTTTCGTATTACCACCAAATACTATTTGCCTAGTCTTACATTGGATATTTCTGAAGCTACATATCTTAGATCTATCTCTAGTAATGTTTGTAATGTTTTGGCCAAATATGGAATGAGGTTGCAATAAACAAATATGTGTGACATATTTCAAATAAAGAAGACAACATATGGATTAGATAGGTTAATCACATATACATAAAGGAGACAGACCGGTGACGTATAAACACGCTCAAGATTGTAGCTGATGTTGGTGTTTGACTCAAAAGATATTGAAACCTTTTTGAACAAATCAATCAAAGAGAATGAAGGGGTAAATCTTAGTCAAAGCTAATAACCTCCAGATATATATGCGAATCAGAAAATAATGCATAAAATGAGATAGGGGCGATCAATCTTATTGATAATGTTCATTTCCTCATTCATTAATTGATGAAGATCATTCTTTTTTTGTCTTCTGTGGGAAGGTTCTCTTTTCTAAGAAAATTACAGAGTAGGGATCAGAGAGAGAGTTTAGATTAGAGAGAGGAAAAGTCCCCCTTCTTATGAAAGACTCCTCCCCTATATATTGTTATGGAATCCTCACTAAGGGTTGATACAATTGCGCACCACGTTTGCTTTGGTCGTTCCTTAAGTGTCGTTCCTTATCATGGAGGATATTATGAGTACGGGGTTTTGGTGCAAACCATGCCGCCTTCCGCTATCTCGTCATTTGGACGGGATCTCGGTTAGACCGAATGCAACGGTCAGATTTTGACCAATACAGTTAGTCCATCCGTCTACCGGGGTCGTCTCTTGTCGAGCCGGGTAGGCAGATCATGGTTGTTACATATCTAAGAGAAATCTGACTACCTACCCCTTGGGTATGGTCTTTAGATTCTAGCCATGCGACGACGTCTTTTCGATATCCTCGAACCATTTGGTCTTTTCGGAACTCGAACATCGTTTGTCTTGAAGTGTTGTTTGTGGTTACCTGCCATTATGACACACGTTCCTAGGGGGGTTGAACCGTTTCATGCCTTATCAACCTCAATTGGCGACTCTTGGATTTCGTGCTCGAAAAATTTATGACCCTTATAAATAGGATTGCACTATTCGATTTGACACACTCTTTGCTTTTGTTTAAGAAAACATTGCGAATCCTCTTTCCTCCCGATACTTCGGATTCTCGATTTCCTTTAGTTGGCTGGGAATTTTCGTCTTTCCTTTTCTTTATCCTCTTGCTTTATCAAATTGGTTCAAATGGCTGGTGATTCTCCTCGCGCTGACCTTTCTTCCCCAACTCCGGCACCAGAAAATGATGTTCTGGCCACCGGAGGAGCAGATAGAAGATGAGGAGGTCCCATCGGTGACTGAGATCTTGCCTCGCCCTGGAAAAGCGTGGAGCGATTTTCACAGTCCCGCCGTGGAGGAGCCGGAACCTGCTCCGTCCGTCATAACAGAGGAGGGAATCGCAGAATTGAAGGCCAGGTGGGGGATCCCTTGCCATGTTGAAATACTGCCGGCGGTGGGGGACGACATAGTCCACTTTGACCGCACGGGGTATTGCGCGTTCTATGCCTACCCTTTTATTGTCGGATACACGCTTCCTCTCCCTCTCTTGGTGGTAGCTTTCTGCCGCTTTTACGAGGTATGCCCAGCGCAGCTTTCGCCGTATCTATATAAATTGTTCCTCATGCTGCTTAAGTTTGCGTAGCTTGCCGGTCGTGAGATCACTTTAGGGCACCTGCTTAATATTTTCGCCCCTCAACTCATTCGTGGCACGATGATTCACATGCGCCGCCGAGGGTCGAAGAGTCTGGTGGTGAAGATGGACGATAGAGCCAACCGTCTCTTCTACGAGAATTACTTTTATGTGCGGACCGAACACCTTGTGGCGGATCCTATGGGGTTCCCTGAGAAATGGAACTTCGCCTGTAAGTTTCTATGCCTTTTGTCGGAATAATGTTCGACCGCTCTTTTATTTTTTTTTAATTGGGTAATACAAAGCTACCTCCTGCACCTGTTGATGGTATCCACGAGTGGGTGAGCGCCATCCTTCCTCATACGGCCGCTGTCCGTACATGGTCGTCTTTCTATAAGAAATATGGACGCAAGCCCCTTACTGGTGAGTAATATTATCTTCGTTCGCTATTCCTTCTCTTTTTACTTGGTTTCTTATGTGATGTTTATCGATGCCAGGAAGAGTGCGGAGAGCGAGGGCTCCTCCATTAGCTTTTCGTCAACCTGCCTCGTCCACTCGTCCTGCTTCGGTATCTACTGCCTGACC